CTGAAGTGTTCAAGTTAATACTGCCAAGTTTGGACTTACTTCAGCAATAAGGGCAAAAAAATACCAACCTCTGAATTTGATATTTTATTAGATTCCTTACATAAAAGTTTAACAGCACACATATGCTCTTTGCTTAATATATTTCAGAACTAATCCTTAATTTATATTTTATATTTTTGAATACATTTTATGTAACATTGTATGCTCCTGGATTGTATTAAGCATCTAAAAAAATAGTTTTGGGTTTTAAGACAGCAACAATAAAAAAATGAATAGGAAAATTAAAGGAAGATAGAATATTAGGGTACTAAAAACAAATCCACAAAATTTAGAATCTGTTTTGGAACATGTACTACAGATATAGGTATAAAAGTGGGATGAATAGATAAATGCTAGTGTAGCGGACCTTGAATCTTGGCTTCTCCAATGATCACTGATGTACTGCGAGCCAGCTCTGGAGATTAGGGCTGGGAATGGATCAAGGCCCAGTTCAGGTTCTGGCAAAAAATGTTCTGGCCTTACAAAATTATTTGCTATACACTCTGTTATGGCCCATTGGTACAGTTTGCTATGCTCTTCTAATCAGTTACTGATTAAGAGAGGGATAAAGAATATAATTGGTACCATGTGTTTTCACTTTCTTTGTAACAGGCAAGTTTGAATTTTGTTCATATTGGGTTCTTGTACTTTGACCACCCATGAGTCAAAACTGTCTGTCATACATCCTTTAGCTTGGGGCAGAGACCATCACATCAGGCCTGTGGTGGTGGTTTCCCTACATGCCTTCATGTGTGTGTACGCACACACAAATTCAAGTCATTTCTGATTATGGCAACCCAAAGGGATTTGGGAGGCAATATTTCTTAAAAGTGGGCTTGCTCTTGACTTCTTTTGAGGTTGAGAGGGTGTGACTTTCCAAGGACTTTCCAAAGTCACCCAGTCGGTTTCTGTGACTGAATGGCGATTCGAACCCTGGTCCTCAGAATCATATAGTTCAAGATTCATACTACTGTACCACACTGGCTCTCTGCCTGAGAATTCATTAATGGGCTATATTTACAGGGTTCAAGGGGCCAGGCCAAGTTCCAGATTGGTGGGAAGAATGGCTAAATCATCACCTTCCTTAAACTGACCTCTATTCTAGGATACTTTCTCAGTAGCAGGGCTGTCAAAAACATCATTATCTCTGCCCTTGCTGTGATAAATATATGCAAGATTTTTATATGTGGAAACTTATGGCTGGCATCCTGTTGGTGAATTATGATGGTGTAAGTCAGACTGATGCCATCACAACTCAATTTTATGATGATTGCATTGATCAGAATTGTGTTGTTGTTTTTAAAAGATGAGACAGGAAAAGTACTCCCCAGCTCACATTATAAGCATCCCCCCATGCCCATTTCTGTGTTGTTGAAGAATGGTGTTGGGGAGATAGGCAAGGGCACATCCAGTAGCAAGAATTTCATGTGCAAAGAGAGTGCCAGTGTTGCATAGTGGTTTGAATGCTGGACTGCAACTCTGAAGATCAGGGTTCAATTCCTTGCTCAGCCATGAAACAGACCAGGTGACCTTGAGCAAGTCACATGCTCTCAGACTCAGAGGCAGGCAATGGCAAACCTCCTCTGAAGAAATCTTGCCAAGAAAATCTCATGATAGGTTCGTCTTAGGGTTGCCATAAGTCAGAAACTATTTGAAGGCACACAACAACAACAAGTATTGGAAGGAATAGATGTGGAAATGTAATTACATAATACAAATATATTTCCCGATGCAGGAGCTCAGCTTTACTGTTATTGAAAGGATAATCAAGGCAGATAAGAAAATATTGTATTTAAATTATAATCTGATGTCTAAACTAGATGTATGGAACTTTTGGCCCTCCAAATCATTTTTCATTGGCCATGCTAGGTGGGTTTCCAGGAGCCAGAGTCCAAAACAGCAGGAGGACCAAAGGTCTTGATTTAAACCATCCACTCTTAAGGTAACATGTTTGATGGTTTTAAGTCAGATATTATTTGACTTATTTGCATGACAAACATGGACACCTGAGTGAGGTCTTTTTTAAAAAATTAAAATCATGCTCATTAACAAGGTTGTTGTTCTTGTTGTGTCCCTTCATGTCATTTTTTACTTATGGCAACCCTGAAATGAACCTATCGTTGGGTTTTCAAGGCAAGATTTGTTCAGAAGTGGGTTTACCTTTGCCGTCCTCTGAGACTGAGAGTGTGACCTGCCCAAGGCCACCCAATGGGCTTTCTTGGCTGAGCAGAAATTTGAGTCCCAGTATTCAGAGTTGTAATCCAATGCTCAAACCACTACAACATGGTGTCTCTTATTCATTAAGAATCCTTACAGGAAAAAAGTGTGTTTTTGCTTGTTATCACTAACCTTTTCAAACGGTGTGTCAGTGTAATGTTCTAATGAATCATATTCTAACTTTTATAGCTAACCTGCTCTCTTTTACAAAGTAGTAAAAAATTTTTTTATGAAAATAGCCTGTCTCTCAAACTTTTCTGTAATGAAACCACAAAAAGAAAAGAGTATTTTGTTCATGGAAAATTTCATATTGCCTAGTTAAAGGAATAACTTAGTACAGAATTGGGAAGATGCAAATCTTGATCTAACAGGTAATCAGTAGTAACAATGATTTCTGATGCTCAATTGTCCAACAATGGCACTTTCAAATCATCCTATCACCACCTTCAGTTGCATTCCTGAAAAGAACAACATTTTTAGATAATCAGATTGGAAATGGGAGGAAAACATTGTGAGCTCCAGTCAGTTTTACTACTCACAACAGATTACTGAATTCACAATTCTTTAGTTTTACATATATATTTGTTTCACCAGGCCTCAGTAGATGGATATTGTGTGTGTGTAGTGTGCATTCAAGATCTGATATCTGCCAAGCTATGATTTAATTTTATCTAAATGTGAGATTGTCACACCAACATATTCAAACAACCATACAAGGAGGATTTGGGGTCAATGTGAGAATAACACATGGCTAAAAATGACCAAGCAATGACAAATTGATAGAAATTTTGAATCAAATGCTTTGTAAGGTAAATAACAAATTGAAAAGCATGAGCATTCCTTAATTATTATTTTGCAGTAAAGTGGGGGCCAGTTCTGCTGCTGGATCATTATTTATTTTTCCATTCAGTCATGAAGAATACTTGATGTGGGTAACTGTACTGTGTACCTTGCTCTGCTAGTCATGTGACACCTTTGATGTTACTGTCTCTCTGTTCATGCACAACCAGGCATACTCTTCCAGAGGTTGCATTGACACTTCTGTGCAAATCCATTAAGGCATATTCAGTTGTCAAATGCAGCCTCAGAGCATTCCTTTGGACTGCACTGACTACTGTAAGATGACTTTAGTTTGTTTCTGCAGTCACTGGCTTATGTCCAGTCCTTTGCAAAGTGGTCCACACAAACTGAATGTATCATTAAGCCACTTGTGCATATCCACTTGGTTCACTCAAAAAAATGTGCAAATGTTATTTATAGACTAGCCTTTCAAAGTACCATGTATTAGGGAAGAAAGAAAGGAAGTGTTATTATTTGAAAGTGATAGCCATAAGCATGCATTATTCTTGCTGAAGTCAGAAAGTGCATTGCTGCTAGTGTGCAGCCTGCAAACCTTGGGTCAAACTAGCTTCTGTCTCTGTTATTTTTTCTGTTATTTTTTTAATGAATTGTTCTGTTCAGTTTTTTAGTTTACTACTTCAGCAATACTTCTTCAAATGAAATGGACTTTGTTTCAAGCCATAAATATTTTCATCCTCACATGGAGGTGGAAATTTGAATGTGAGGTAATGGTGAACAGCTTTGGGATTTCGGAAAAGGTGTTGTTATTATTGTTGTTGTATGCCTTCAAGTCATTTCTGACTCAAGTAAACCTATCACATGGTCTTCTTGACATAATTTGTTTAGAGAGGGCTTGTCTTTTCCTTCCTCTGACATTGAAATAATGTGACTTACCCAAGGTCACCCAGTAGATTTCCATGGACCATTTGAAGACTGGTCTCCCAGTGTTCTAGTTCAACACTCAAACCACTGAACTATGTTGGCCCCATAGTGATAAAGGTGTACTGCAAGGTCAATTGCTAGGAAGGGGAGATGCAGTGGGGTGTAGAAAGCTCATGAGCAGGGATGGATAGATCACTTGTTGGACTGCATCTCCCAGGAATGGTTTCCTAATTTGTGTGACTTGACCTACTGGATACATTGACCTAAATCTGGGTGGCAGATAATAATTATTTGATTAACCTGGTGCAGTACTAGGCCCTAGTTGCCCATTAACTGAGTTTCAAATCAGACAAAATAATGCATTTTTATCTACATAAAGTCTACCTGAATGTCCTTATAACCCTTCAAGGTCAGGGGTAGACAGTAACAAGCCAGGTTAGGTGGAATACTTTAATAGACTAGAACTATACATTATTATCCATGAAACAGTCTGATCTTATACATAGCATACAGACTCATGGATATCTGGATATAACCCCAGCAGCAACTGTCACCCAGCCTAATGTGATTCCTTAACATATATGAGATACAATCAGGTGGAAGAGACTCCCATACTTGTTCTGTCAACCTGTGACTTGCCTGTCAAGAGAGCCATCTTTTATATGACTGTGTTGTAAATTTCTCAGACTTACACTTCCAGATTCCTACTACAGTTGTGTCCTGTAAATTGAACTTTAGTTATGAAACTTAGCTCTTGACCTTCTTGTTGTGATTATCTTCCCATTCTGAGCCACAAACTATGGACAGCATACTTGATGGGAGCATTTCATTCTCTTTCATGGCAGACTCTAATTTAAGAACCCTTTCTCTTCAGAAAGACAAGGGTCTCTTGGATACATCTGCTGTTACCACCATGTAAATGTCCGAAGCTAGTCTAGAGATTTCATGTTTTCTCTCTGGTTCTCTCTTTTACACCTCATCTGCCAAGATAGAAATTAACAAAAACATAATCATTATAAATAATTTTAATAAAACAAATTGTATTTCAGTAGGACATATATTTTCATTCACTCCTTTCAATTAAATATATAGAGAAATGCCAGAATCATTCCCAACCCAAACAAGCATTTTACAAATGAAGGCTGTTTGATGAGCTGATGTAGGTGTTAGAATTCTGGCTGTAGCATAAATTTAGCAATCCCAATTTAGAATCAAGAATTACAATAAATAGAACTTTATATCCACAATATGAAAATTAAAAATATTTCAGTGGGGCTTTTGTTTCTGCTGTGAACTAAGCTTTCCTAATGCTACGATACTAAGTTTAGCTACATTGTTGTAAAATAATTAAATGGGCCAGTGGTATTAGCAATGAAAGTAATTATTGTGGTAATTTTAAATATTAGCATGTCAACTAGCATAGACAGAATATGCAAGCATGGATTGTTAATTCAAAGCTGTATAGAAGACATGGCCCGTCCTAAATAATGTTAGGGTTTTTTTGTTTGTTTGTTTGTTTGTGATTTTTTTGGAAGACTGTATTTTCACAACCAATCTGAGATTAATCACCTGCCATATGTTACTCCTTTGACAGGTAGCTTAGAATATCAATTTCCAGCAATGGTTGTTCTGATGATTGCCAAACGTATGGCCAACAGGTTTGCTGTATCACTTCTTATTTAGAACTAAATTGCTTTCTGATCATTCTTCTATTGACTTATTCAAGGAGATGTTTGTGTAATTTAGTCACTGAAACCATGACTAAATTAGATGTAGTCATGCATCATTAGTTCATGCAATTCTCCCTTAGATTGTCTAGTTTTCATGAGACTTTATATTTTATATAGGGCTATCTCCTTGTGAAATAAACCTTGGTTGTTTCATTACAATGTTCTAACATATCTGAATTAACTGAAACCTGCATGTGAGAAAAATAGTAGGTGGGCCATAGTGACAGTGAGAAATGGGAAATATGGAGCTATTATCATTCTCCTTTGGCAATAGCTTGACATGGCTGCACTCCCATAAGTTTCTATTCGGAAGTAAATCTCACTGAGCTTGATGGGGTTTACTGACAGGTAAGATGGTTTCAGATCACAGATCAAAATGGAAATTGTAGTCAAGAAAGCAAAGAAGACTAGGAATGGAAGATCAGCTATGAAAGAATAAGTCAATATCTTAAAGTGTAAAGATATACAATTGAGCACTAAAATCAGAATCATCCAAATCATGGTATTCCCCGTCACTATGCATGGATGCAAGAGGTGGACAGTGAAGGAAGCCAATAGGAAAAAAAAAATAAACTCATTTGAGATGTGGTGCTGAAAAAGAGTTCTGAAGATACCATGGACACCCAAAAAGATAAACAAATGGATTCTAGAAAAGACAAAGCCTGAACTCTCCCTGGAAGCCAATATGATGAAACTGAGGTTGTTGTACTTTGGCCACATTATGAGAAGCTATGACTCATTAGAAATGTAATAATGCTGGGAAAGGTGGGAGGCAGTACAAAGAGAGGAAGGCCACATGCTAGATAGCTGAACTAGATAGCTGGACTCAATCAGGGAGGTCAT